TAAAGTAGAAACAATTTGTAAAAGAAAATTCTGAAATTGTTTTTAAACATTACTCTGTTTTCTTCATGTTAGTTCAAGATTAAAAGTCCCCAAATGCAAAGAATCCTCATGGACCCATAGAGAGAGGAAGAGAGAAAACAATCGTAAAAAAAAATTCCAAAATAAAGTGGCTCTAATTCAGCACCTAAAAACTAGAACAAAATATATGTATTGAAGAATTTCTCTGCTCCAGGCACTGAGCTAAGTGCACAGCCCCAAACCAAATGCTGCAGGTTATAATTTCCCCCTTTAAAAAGATACAGAAATTGAGGCCTAAAAAGGTGAAAAGTTTCACAAACAATACAGTCAGTAGGTGGCAAATCTGAGACACCAAATCAAGTCCACTGGCTTCTCAAAGCAGAGGATTTTGCCAAGGCATTCTGGTAACTATGGCTTATATAAGCCTTTGTGTGTATGTCTGCTGTCCCTACCAAATCTCAAATACTGTGGGCAATGTCAACTTATTCATTGTATGTCCTGTGTGTGCTACACAGTAGGCACTCAGCAGATGTCTGAAATCTGACCAAATTTCTACAATTTGAGTAAAAATGAGAACTGCAAAGTATGATACATTTTCTCCTACCATATAACATAATTAGACTTTTGTTCCAAATTAGATAAAAGTTTACCACAAAACCCCAACACATTATATTGAATGCAGACTTCTAAATTCGCACAGTCCAGATTTGGAGATGATGAACATACATACGTATGAGTACATCTCTGTGTGATAAATTTCAGTAAACCAAAGAAAAGTTAATAAGTAGTCTAAGAGTTGACAGAAAATCCCAATCATTTTCTTTATTGCCAGGAGTAGTCAAGCATGAACTTCAAAGGTGAAACTTTGTGGTTCAATGCTTAACACAGAAGAAGATCCTTTTTAATGTATAACAAACACTATACTGAACTAGTTGTTTTGAAATAGATTAAGGATCAGAATGCCACTTCTATTACACTTAGGAGACTAAAAGCCCTTGGGTGCACCTTATTGTCAGTGGTATGGATTCAATGGCATAAAGCACACTCAGATGACAGGGTTTAAACCATAAATAACAGAAGAAACAAATAATAAAAAATTAAATTAACTCCACATCTATCAATTAACTTGAGAACAAGTTTTAAATCACTTCTTCTAATGAATTACATGTACTTTGTGAGAGGCCAATCCATTTGATCATTCCTTCATTGCTTCATCAAATATTTACTAATTCCTATTATGTGCCAGCACTGTTTCATATACTAAATACCATACCTATGAACAAAACAGACAAGAAATGATGCTGTTATAGAGTCAACAGTTCTGGGGGGAGAGCAGCAATGAACAGATACAACAAAGAGATAGATGTCAGATGGTGCTAAGTGCTAGAAAAAAAAGAATTCACAGAAGGGGCAAAGGTTGCAACTTAAGGGAGGATAAATGTGAGATGGTGGCTTGTAAAGTGTTAACAAGTAGGGAGACTGAGAAGTGGCCAGATTCTAAATATATTTTCATGTTAGAATTAACACTATTGGCAGGTGGGGTATGGGATATGAAAAAGGGAAGAATCAGGGATGACAACAAGGTTTAGGGCTTAGCAAAGAGATGAATGGACAATTGCCACTTACTGAGATCAGGCTGAGGTAGGAGCAGATTCTGGGGAAAGGGACCCAAATTTGTCTATGTTTAGTTTGAGAACCATATTCAACTCAAAGAGTAAATGCTTAGTAGTCAGTCAAGCACCTCTGCAGTTCATGGTCATCCTCCAGGATATAAATAAATTTGGGGGTTATTAGCATTTCAAGCCCTGAGAATAAGAAAATTCACTGGGGAATGAGTAGAGAGAGAACAGAGTACCAGGAAATGAGGTGGTTGCTGGAGCAAGGTGTGATGAAGAGTTTGTTTCCTAAAAGGTATGAGGGTAATGATAATGAGTCTATAGAGAAGAAAAGATGATGCTGGAGAGTGCAAAGAACTGCCTGAGCAATTGCTGAAGGAGTAGTCTCAGAGACTGCTGAAATGCAGCACTCAGTCACTGCAGGCAGGAATGAGTACATAGAAGCATTGAAATGCATAAAGGGCAGAGAGGTAAGGATTGGAAATATTGTTCACCTTGAGAGTCAATGATAAAACTAACTCAAGCAATGAAAGAGGTCAGTAAGGTAGTAAGATATACAATTAACACAAAACCAACAGCTTCCAAAACACATGTCTGACAATGGATTTGCATATAAAGAACTCTCAAAACTCAATAATAAAACAAACCAATTAGAAAATAATCAAGAGTGGTTGCCAGAGGTGGGAGGGGGGGATGGGATATATGATTCCATTTATATAACATTCCAGCAGTGGCAGAATTATGGAGGTGAGTTCACAGATTAGTGATTATCAGAGGTTAGGGATGGTGGCTGGGGGAAAGGGGGAGTGGCTATTAAGGAAGGAACTAACTATATATATAGTATTCCCAAATGGTGTCCATTCCTAGCAATTAAAAATTTCCCTTGTGAAGAACTTTGAAAGTGGCATCTAACTAAAAATACTGTGGGTAGGAAGGTTAAATTCCCTGTATGTTTGGTAAGTGTCAAAACTTACCAAATTGTGTACATGAAATATATATGGTTGATGGTATGTCAATTATAATTCAATAAGATTTTTAAAAAATCAATAGCTTATGCAAAAAATAACCAGTTAGAATATATCATGGAAAAGAACATCCCATTTACAATAGCAATGGAGCAATACTTAAGAACCAACCTAAGAAATGTATAAAACCTTGAGCTCTCAAACCTACAGCTCTTTCCTCTTACTCCTGGGTTCTTCTTTATCAATTAAGAGATCAAGCCCCCTTTCTGTAAAACTTCTGCAATAAAACATTACTTCTGTAATAAAATCTGATGGCCCCCTACCACACGTGAGACCCCTTGTTTAGCATCTAGTGTTATATACATGGTACATAGGAATGGGTCTTCACATAATGGATACCTGTTAATGTAACTTACATAGCTGCAGAGCAGTTCTATAGAAATTATACCTGTGGTGTGTGCTTTCCCATCCCTGCTGTCCTTAAATAGCATGTGGACTAGAGTAAAGGGGTGAAGAGGACTATTCTCACAATAGGAAGAGGAGTTCAGGTATGTCTTTTCTTTGTAGGAGACATAAAATGTTTTAAAGTAGTGTCAGCATCTATTAGCTTACTTCATACTTTCTCTCTGATTAGGCAGAGTAAGGGAGTGATGTTATCTATCACTTTCCCTGAACAAAGCTTACGGTGAAATAAATCTTTCCCTTACTAAGATGACAAATCTCAGTTAAGCAGAGTTGTATGGAAATGGGACCTGCAAAGACAGACCAACATACAGGGGATTTAACCTTCCTACCCACAGTATTTTTAGTTAGATGCCACTTTCAAAGTTCTTCACAAGGGAAAATTTTAATTGCTAGGAATGGACACCATTTGGGAATACAGATTTCAAACATACATCTAAAAGGTAGGTAAATCTGGAACAAAAGGCAGTTCTATTTTTAGTTTTCTGAGGAAATTCCATACTGTTTTCCACAGTGGCTGCACCAGTCTGCATTCCCACCAACAGTGCACTAGGGTTTCCTTTTCTCCACATCCTCTCCAGTACTCGTTGTTTGTTGATTTGTTTATGATGGCCATTCTGACCAGTGTGAAGTGGTATCTCACTGTGGTTTTAATTTGCATCTCTCTGATGGCTAGTGATGCTGAAAATCCCCATAGGGTCTCTGGATCCTGTGTATGTCCTTCTTGGATACGTGTCTGTTCAGGTCCTTCGCCCAATTTTTTTTAAAGATTTTATTTATTTATCTTTTAGAGGGAAAGGGAAGGAGAGAGGGAGAGAAACATCAATGTATGGTTGCTTTATGGTTGCTTTTCGTGCGTCCCCTGCTGGGAATTGGCCTGCAACCCAGGAATGTGCCCTGACTGGGAATCAAACTGCGATTGTCTGGTTCGCAGGCCCGTGCTCAATCCACTGAGCTACACCAGCCAGGGCTCCTTTGCCCAATTTTTAATTGGGTTGTTTGTCTTCCTGGAGTTGAGTCAGATGAGTTCTTTATATATTTTGGAGAACAAACCCTTGTCCAATGTATCATTGGCAAATATGTTCTCCCATACAGTTGGTTCCATTTTTATTTTGCTAATGTTTTCTTTAGCTGTGCAGAATTTAATGTAGTCCCATTTGTTTATTCTTTCCTTTATGTTCCTTGATCTAGGGGACATATCAGCAAAAATACTGCTGCATGGAATATCTGAGATTTTCCTGCCTATGTCTTCCTCTAGGACTTTTATGGTATCATGACTTATATTTAAACTTTTATCTATCTTGAGTTTATTCTGGTATATGGTGTATGTTTTGCTGGGAATATACTCTAAGAATCCCAAATCACCAATTCAAAAGAACTTCTGCACCCCTATGTTCACAGCAGCACTATTTACAATAGCTAAGTGCTGGAGACAGCATAAGTGCCCATCAATAAATGAGTGGATCACAAAACTGTGGTACATTTACACAATGGAATTCTATGCAGCAGAAAGGAAAAAAGAACTCCTACCTCTTGCGACAGCATGGATGGAACTGGAGATTATTATGCTAAATGAAATAAGCCAGTAGATGAAAGGCAAATACCATATGATCTCACCTATAGGAGGAATCTAATGAACAAAATAAACAAATGAGCAAAATAGAACCAGAGGCATGGAAACATGGAACAGACTGACAGTGGCCAGAGGGAAGGGTAGAGGGGAAAAATGATGGAAAGAAGGGGAAGGGACTCATAAAAGGACAAGTGTGAATGACCCATGGACATGACAACAGTGTGGGATTGACTGTGGCGGGGATGGACTGGGCAGAGGAGGACAAAGGGGGAAAAAATTGGGACAAATGTAATAGAATAACAATTTTTTTAAGAAGTAGGTAAATCTGTGAAAATTTTTAAAAATGCCCAATATACTTACAGTTTTTTCATTATTTTCAAAAGCTTCTCTTGCTTCTTCGAATGTGCAGACTTCTTCTTTGCATTCGCGTTCAATGTTGCCCTGTCTTATTTCTTCAAAAAGTCCATTTGCTCTTGGGTAGCGTTTTAGTACTGAATTGGCTTTTTCTCCAGTGAGAAAAACTAAAAAGATATAATAATAAGCATAAAATTGTAATATAAAAACATGTTGAAAGTTAATATACAAGATGAAAACTGCTAGATGCTCTTTAGAAAACAGAGCCAACGTCCTAAACCTCTTTCTGTGAGTCAGCATTGAAGTAACACTTCCATTTAGCTCCAAACTACCACATCTGCCATCTTTCTCAACCTGTGAGTATGTCCTTTCAGTAGCAGTTGCCCGGGGCAGGGACAATGACATAATTAACTATGTTACATTCAGACTTCAGCATCCCTGCCAACATAGGTGTTTAAATATAGTAACAATGATACCACCACTCATGACTATTAATAAGTGGATACCCCCAGGCACTCTGCTGTTAGTCAGCAGCAAGCAAATCAAAACCCAGTTTCTAGACTATCAGTCTTTGTCCTCAACTACAAACAAATTAAATTCCAGTTGACCAGTAATATAAATCCAGAAGAGTCTTACTTGTATGAAAATGAAGAGGTGGCAAAACCATGTCAAGAAATTAAGATAAATTTGGTCATAATCCATTCCAAGGAACACTAATAATACTTTTGTTCTAAATCCACTTAAGTTAAATATATTGTGACCTTGAATATATTTCAACCACATTTCAATGTCCTTCAGAAAAAAATTCTGCATGACTTACAGAGGCATTTCATATAAACATTCAAAATACGCATTTATGATACCCAATAAAATAAATATGTAAGAGTTATATGCACAGTTATGGGGAATTACTTTTATTTTATATACGGATTCATTTAAAACTATAGTTCAATTACATTTTTCTCAAAGTGTCATGCTGGGGGCGTGATGGGGTGAAAATGGAGACAAATGTACTTGAAGAACAATTAAAAATTTTAAAAAATGTCATGCTTCTTTGCAGAGATAAATACAATGCTACTAGAAGTTAATCTCCACTAATGCAAAGAAATTAGAAAATTCCCTAATCTGATAGTCTTCTGACAGAGGCAAAGGCACGTTATATATCCTTCAATGTTTTAAAAACAGACCGACAGCTGTCATATAGGAAAGGAGGGATGGGATGAAAAATGGTAAAGGAATTAACCAAACAACATTTCTGTACAACCCATGGACAGGGACAACAATATGGGGATTGACTTAGAGAGGGAAGACGGTGGGGCTGGGTGGAGGTGGGGAAAGGGGGAAAAAGTTGGAACAACTGTCACAGCATAACAATAAAAAATGTAAAAGAAAAAACACATATTTTGCAAAGAACATCTTGAAGTAAATGAAAAAGAGTAAGTACTCTTTTAAAAAGAGCAACAAATAAAATAGACATAAATTTAAGGTTTACCTAATTATAGAGATGTGTCTTTCACTTTATACAAGATATGGATTTATTACTGAGGATTCTTTAAGTTTAAAGTATCCAAATTGGTACCAGCTAGATGGCACCTATGCTAGGTTAAAAGTTATGGCCTTCCTTAAGTATTTCCTTCCTTCTGTACCTCAGAAAGGTAACCATCTATCAAAAATCAATCATAAGAGTGATAAAATGTCATTAGAAGAAATGTTAAAAAATTAAAATTATGGTAAGTGCTATGAAGGAAACTAAAATGGTACTACTAAGTTGAAGAATACCAGTGGAATTATCTAGCAGTGCTTCTCACAGTTTAGCAGCATTAGAATTTCCTAGAGGACTTATTATCCCAAGATTGCTGAGCCCACCTCCCAGCATTTCTGGTTCCATAGGTCTGCGTGGGGCCAATAAGTTGCATTTCTAATCAGTTCCCAGGTAATGTTGATGCTACTGGTCCTACTAACCACAGTTTGAGAACTACTACCTAGGAGCCTGGTTGGGTGGCTGGGTAGCTGGGTAGCTAAGTTGGTTAGAGTGTCGTCCAAAAAGGCAAAGGTTATGGATTTGATCCCTGGTCAGGCTACATACAAGAATCAACTACTGAATGCATAAATACGTGGAACAACAAATTGATCTCTCTCTCTGATCAATTAAAAAAACAAACATGGAGAACCACTACCCAGATATGAGTTCTTTAGAAAACTAGTTCTGAAGGAAGTATTTAGGGAATGCTGGGATTAACAGATTTAAAAAGGTATGTTACTGTATGAGTTTTGAGGTCATTAATGTATATTTAATATATACATATAAATCTCCAGAAAAGGAACATGACACATGCATTGTCACATTTATTTGACTATAGCACCTTTTTTGAGGGACATTACACTGAATTAACAAGTACCTAGCCATTGTCTTATTTGTGCCCTCTAAAATGACAAGTCTCTCCTCTCTCTCTATATATATATAAAATAAGGCCAACAAACACATAAAGACAGTAACTGATTTCCCTTGGTTCTTCTATTTTCCAGCATAAACATGTATATTTCTTTCATTTATTGGCCATATAAAATGTATAGGATTCTCTGTGTCATCTTTATGTTATAAAATACAGTATCCTACACTGGCTGCAATACTCTAAGTGTGGTCTGACAATTTCAAGACAGATCAGGATTATCTGCTTCCTTGTTATAAAACACAATAGATATGTTAATGTAGTCTAAGATATCTCTGGTTTTGGGGACAGTTTTCCTGAAAATAAATCAAACAATAATGTATTTTGTGTTTTTAAGACAAAAAAACCTATCCTAAAACAATTTTTATATGCTATCTACATGGAAAAGGGGAATCAAGGAATGTAGCTAACTCTTGTAACTATAAAGCAGGCTAATTCAGGTTAAGCTACTAAAAAAGTTATGTAGACTTGAGAGGAGAGATGGCAGCTAGGTAAAAGGGAGCACATTCCACTTCCCCTTATGCATGGGAGAAAAACCTGGCCAATCTACAGAGGAACAGAACAGACAGCCACCAGTACCACAGCATATATAAAAATAGGAGGTCAAAAATTGTAGCAGACATTGAAAAAACAGACAATAAGGAGAGTGCTTCAGGATAAGGGCCCAGGGATCAGCATGGGGACCAGAGAGGCTGCAGCCCCAGGCCCAAAGCCTGCTGGGCCAGCCACAGGACTCTTGGGAGAGACCAAGGGTCCGCATTCTCTTCCAGGCCAAACAGGGTTTGAGCACCACTGGGAGAGACCTGGTTGCTTGAAGTCACAGAGAGGGGAGTAAGGACTAAGTGGCAAACACATGGGGCTTTGAACATCCACGCACAGCCCTGGGAAGAATGTGCACACAAACGTGTGCGACCAGAGGCAGCCTGGCCAGGTGTACACTCCCGCAACCTCAGGAAAGAGAGCTGTGTGGAATGCCCAGGGCCCATACCCATAGACCCAGAGAGAGTGTGCACACCTCAGGAGACTCGGAGCCCACACCAGTAAATCTGGAGTGAGTGCAGGCCCCTATGGAGGCCCAGACCCCACACCCAGGGCCATGCAGAGGGGCACCAGGCTAGCTCTGGGGAGAATGCATTACCAGCTCTAGGGAAAGTGCACCAGAGGCTGACTGAGTGGTGAAAAGGGAGGAAGAAAAGCATACTAGTTACCCCTCAGCCTGCTGCAGCCAGCAAGAGCAACTAGTTTGGCCAGTTTGAAACCAGCAGGAGGGTTTTTTGTTTGTTTGTTTGTTTGTTTGTTTTTAAAAGTAATTTCTATATATTTTTTAAAGATTTATTTATTTATCTTTAGAGGGGAAGAGAGGGAGAGAAACATCAATGTATGGATGCCTTTTGTGTGTCCCCTGCTGGGAACTGGCCTGCAGGGAACTGGCCTGCAACCCAGGCATGTGCCCTGACTGGGAATCGAACCGCCATTGTCTGGTTTGCAGGCCCGCGCTCAATCCACTGAGCTACACCAGCCAGGGTGCTATTTTTTAATTTTTATTATTTTTATCTCTTAATTCCTTTTGCTTCTCTTTCCTTCTTTCTTGTGTTATTCCTTCTTTTTTTCTTTCCAATTTTATCTCTTCTTCTTTCCTTAGTCTGCTTTTTTAAAAAAAATACCCACAAGTGAGACAAAAAAACCTAGAACTGTGAAAAGACCAGAGTTGGACACAAAGAGGGGGAATCCCAACAGCTGGGACAGAGAGACAAATTTCACTTGCTATTACAGAGAACCTGCAAGATATTGCACATTTGTATTATTATTTTTTTCATTATTCTTACATCTTTTATTTGAATAATATTTTTGTATTCCTCTTCTTTCTGTTTAGTCTTCTTTGCTTGCTGGTTTCATTGTATCATTTGACAGGTTTCTCCTGTTCTCTCATTCACAGGGTATTGCTAATTTACTGTCCTTCACTTCACCTGTGTTCCATTAGCACACCACTGAAGGCCCTATACTCCCTATTCTTGTTATCTAGATCTCATAGATTCTGTCATATGATTGTTGCTCTAATGTTATTGTATATAATAGCTGTTCCATAAAATTGTAAATACTTCACAACACCCCTCCTGGATCTTAGCCCACTTAACACTTTCATGAACTCTATTACTATAGTAGTTAACTCTATTCTCTCACACACTACACCTATTTACTATCCTTTACTCTCACCTCTCCTCAGAATCTGACTCCCACAACCTCACTGCTTTATGTTAATAGTCTGCAAGAGTCTTACCTTCTTTCCATCCTTTATAAAAGGTGGCTAGTTGGACGGAAGATCACAGTTAACACTACACATAGCCAAAGGATCTCCCATCTCTTCTCTACTAGCTGCTACTGTAAATAGCATAAAATACTTTCTTGCTGTCTTAAACCATTTTTGCCTTACCCCTCCAACTGATCACAAAAAGAGAGTAGGTGGAAGCAGTGAACACCAGGATAACCAAAGAAGACTGCACCACTGAATCTCACAAGTATTCTACCATAGAAGTTCACACCATAAACCCAGGGAACCAGAACAGATCAAGTGAAGAAGCTGAGGCTAACAAAAACAGTCTCACAAACAATGGGAAGACAAAGAAACAATCCCCAAATGAAAGGAAAGGAGGAACCCTCAGAAAGATGCTAACTGAAATAAAGGCTACTCAATTATCACATATTGAGTTCAAAGCACT